ATAGAGTCAAGTTCTCTGCTAGTATAAATCACTAACCAGATTGCAGCGAATGCTGAATTACACCAAATGAGGTATGTAGATCAGGACATCTATCGAGTTGTTTGCATAATAAATTTTACCATAAGGCGTATTTTTAATACTGTGAAAATGCACGGCGCTCTCCTTCACAACACCATAAGCAAATTTCTGGGTCCTACACTTTGGCATAAACCAGACAGGAAATACACATGTAAAACTGAAAGCTTTGCCTGATCATTCCATTTTCCAAACAAGGGCAATAGTAACAGCCTGCCAGATTGCTTTGCTGAAGTTCATGCGTCTGAGAGTTTGCAAGACAAGCAACTGAAGGCACTGTGAGTCCTTCCACCGACTCCTCCGGGCTCTGGCACAGGACCCGGGCAGAAGCACTTCCACATGTTACACGCCACCGCGAGCGAAGAAATGCTGCACGCGCGATACCACGGCTCTGCTCACGTCAGCGCTGCACAAACCTGGCACCAGACATTGCCTGCGCGGCTTTCACTCGGTGTGCGCATAACCTACGAACACACGCGACGGAACCACTCTGGAGCCACGGCTGCCAGGTTTGCCATCACTGCCAAGCAGCAGGAACAGACAACCTTGCTCCCTTCCACAAGTCCCCACTGACAGGAAAGAAGTCACAATAACCCTTTAACCTGTGAAATCGCTTCCTTTCCAGAGCACTAGCAAGTCCCGCTTGACTTGCTCTGTAATTAATAAACCTTTTCATTCATCTTATAATGCATTTCCCCAGCCAGGACCAGAAAATACAGAGTATTACTGGTTTGGAAAAACATCTAGAAAATAAATGGGGGGAAAGACAGCGAGAGGAGGAAGGTAAGAAGCAACTGAAAAGGGTATGAAGATCCTGAGAGCCAGGCATTCAGACTAACTAACATAACTTAAAATGGTTCAACTATATATCACTGCAAATAGAGTTCTGACCAAAAAATAATTATTATTTTTTTATATATATATATTGCTATGTCATTCATTTCAACTAAGAGGTTCAAGGTCCTGTGAGAGGTGGTTCTACGGGAAGCACACCTCCCAGCTCACAGCAGATTAAGGCTTTTGCTTTCCCGCTTTGGAAGGAAACGGTGCTGAAGCAAAGGGATCCCCGCCGGGCAGCTCTGTAGTCCTGGAAGACAGAGGGGCAACAAAGACAGATCCTGCTATTGCCTGTCTGTTGGTCTGAGAAACCACTTTGTAAGCAGCTATGGGTTTGACTTCGAGACCCTGCCCATCTTCTGGACTGTAGTGACGGGAATATTTTGACAAGGATTGCGGACGGAAAGGCTTGTTAACCACGGAGCCCAGCACGGCTTCCTGGGGCAGCGCGTGTCCTCCTTGGTTTCTCTCACTGGGCATGCCACCCTGCTCTTGCAGCACGCCTTTAGAAGGGATGTTCTCCTGGGTCTCCACGGCTCTTACGGAAGAGGGATGAAGATTGCTTGGCTGAGTAAACCCGGCAGAGGGATTTTGAGATCTCGCCGAGGCCGTGGACCCACGCATTGCTGAATCCAGGCTTGGGAACATTGGGTTAGCTCTGTGTTGGACATCACCTCCTTGACTTAGGAAAACGGGTGGTGCGAACGGTTCCTTAGACATACTATGGGAAGTCAACTCTTCCATGCTTTTCTTTTTAGTGAAAGGGGCTCTCAGAAATACATCGGCTTCTTCTGGATGTCTAAGAGCCACGTTGCCCTTGGAGATAAAAGGAGCTTTGGTAAAGACGTCCACCTCATCAGGCACTTTTCTCGAGCTTCGGAAAGGAGCTGTGGCAAAAACATCTGGCTCGTTAAAAACCTCCCCGGTGTGCGACTGGAAGGCAGGGAACAGCGTCTCCCCTGCTCTAGTCTGGGAAGGGAACAGCGTCGCCCCTGCTCTAGTATGGGAAGAGCTGGAGTGGGGATCTTCTTTGGAGGCCTCATGTCTTTCCCTGGGCGCAGACTGCAGGAATCCTGCGCACAACTTGCAGGTTTCCTCCTCCTCTTCCGAATCCATCAGTAAAGGCCTGGACCCGCTGCAATCCAAAATGTCTCCTTCGTGGTCTGTCCCCTCTCCTTCGCTGCTGTAGAAGGAGCTGTTGCTTGAAGGACCATCTCTTGTTAAGTAGTCTGATTCTGAGTTGTGCTGCGTTTTCACCTCCAGTATCTCAGACTGGCCCTTGTACAAAGCAAGTCCATCACTGCCAGAAGGTCCTTTACGGAGTTCAAGAGCTACAACTGGGAATAGGGCCGGATCCCTCTGCATACCTAAAAATGCAAGAGAAGAGTGTTACTCAGCGACTCCATCTCCTTAGTCATAAATAAGAATGAAAGGTACTTATTACACAAGAAGTGTCATGCCGTTCAGATTTAAACCACCATCACGCATGGAAAATGGGACGGAGAGGGAGGGCAAGTAAAAGAAAATAAAAATGCCAGGGAAGGTATTTACGACACACAAACCGACACACAACTCGATGCTGCCTCACAGCTCGGGGACACCACAAGTACCAGTTTTCAGAAAGAGATGGAAGATGTTTGACACACGAATGGGCACACCCAGCACTCTCTCAGCACCATTCCACAAGGTTTTCTCTGCCACCCACGACGACGACCACCATCAGAAAGGTTTTCACTTCGTAACACTGCTGCCTGGAGTGAGGCTCCAGCAAACAGACAATTTTTGTCATTTCATTTCGTTCTGCACCGTTGCTTATCTGCTGCCCTACAAGCAGATATACAGCTTGGCATAGCCTCTCTTTCTGTGAGCCATCCCACGGATACGTGGAATTATACTCGGGCATGTAAAATACACAGGGATGCCCTACAATCTGCTAAAATAACATACACCTTTCAAAGAATGAAGGTCAGCCTATAGCTTTTAAGGAATCCTGGTAACTATAGCAGCATTATTTTAAACCACTGCAAGAAGAATTATTTTAAACAACACATACCATGACTTCAAATCAAGTATCTAACATAACTATAACGATCTGGTTTGCTTCTGTGTTAGCGTAACAAGACAGTGTGGGGAGAGGCTTGCTGTTCTGCTCTTCTCCAGTTACAAGAGCCCGAGATGGGGTTGGTTTTGCCTTACGACTCACACAGACAGAACAGAAGATATCTTACCTTCAAAGAACTATTGGCAGGTTAGGAGTATGTCATTGGATTCATGTTAGCGAGAGGATAGGAAAAAGGCACATGAAAACTAAGCAGTATGAATTGCAGGAAGAACGAGGAGGGTAAGGAGGTTGTTTGGTATCCACTGAGCGATGGACAAGCGAGGTGCTAACCAACCCACCCTGCTGTGACAAAATAGCATCATCGCGTCCAAACTCTGCCCAGGTTAATTGTTCACATTTGCACACCCATCGCAGCCCAAGGCACCGTTTCTTGATCAAGTCCGTAGACATACATGAGTTAACCCATTCTCAGTCACTTCTCACAATTAAAGACACAGTAGTCGTTCATTAGGCATCAAAATCGGTATTTATTGGGAAACTATTCACTTAGATACATTACACTGCTAAATAAAGACAGTGTAGATATGTGAACATTTTATAAGTTACTCTACAAAAATACTATCTATCTTTCCTGAAGCCTGTGTTGTCAGCAATGGTTTAACCTTAGATGCTAATCTCAGATTACAGGAACAGTAACGTCTATGGCGCTGTTTTCTTCCAGGAAGCTGGTTATATATTTACCAGGTATTATTGTGGGATTTTAAGAATACAGGCTGAAGCAGAGCACGACCGGTTGCCACATCACGCAAATGCCTCTGAACTACCCAGTCCTCATTGGAACATAGCTTACAGGGAAACAAGGAAAGGAAAAAGGCATTTATCATGGTGACCGTTACGCCAATGCAAACCAATGACCCACTTTTCACAAGAACAGCGCAAACAAGTAATTTGATCAGAATTTTCTTTTTAAAGAGTTACTTGCGTTAGTAGGTGTCTACGTTCATGTAAGCGATGACATTTAGGACAGAGTAAGAGAAGGGCTGACAGGATATAAGCCCGTTTGCTTAGGACAGGAGCAGCATGCGTCTCCGAACTTGGAGGCACCGTATGATAGGCAGAACACTCTCTTTTTGGAAAAACTACTTTTTCCCATGCTTTCTTGCTCTCTCTGCCCATCATAAGTGAGAAGGGCACCAAATGCCTGGAAGCAGTTTTCTCCCTTGCTAAGGCCGGTACAGGATTTGTGAATTACTCTGGGAAGAAAAAAATGAAGCGATGCTTAGGTAGGAGCTCGTTCCGGCCTTCAGTTAGGAGCCGGTTTCACTCAAAGCTGCTAGGCAATACAGCAAGAAGGGAAGGGCCCTGACAATTTGAAAACAACAAAAATGGGCACAGCGATATTAAAATGCAGTGGGTTACCCGAGAAGTTTGGGGATTTACTGACAGGAGAGGAGCACCATCTACACGCCCATGTTCTATTTTTCTGATGCTGAAGGAGGAAGACCTGGCTTCCAGACACCATCCCACAGTAACTGATCTCAGGCACCTTTTCCTTCCCATGTTCTTGGGTTCCCTCAGTTTGTTTCCTTTGGCAGAAAGCAAAGGGACGGTCCCAGAAGGAATGATGGTAGCATCACTACAACAAGGAAGACAACATCAGGCCAGCATTTTACTTTAGCTAACATCTGGGTGCATGTCTAACTAGACAGTGGCTTAGACATCTCCTCTCACAGCTGTTAATCTCGTATGTTAAAAAAGGTCTGAGCTATGCTTAGACACTGAAGCGTGCAATCAAACCAAAAATACCCAAACCCCTTTGTGTAAAGGTCAGGTTAGAGCTAACGAGACAAGGTCAGCGCATTCCCATAAGCAGCCATAGCTACAGGCTTGGCAGACAAACGTTTCAGAGGCGCATGCTGCATAACTTTTAGGATGACAGAAAATTTAAGTTAGCCAGCGCCGACGGATGCTTCGGCAGGTCTGAGATCAGAGACCAGCGAGACTGAAGTGCTCAAGGGACTGTTTCACATGAAAAGGCATGGCAGTTCTGTTCTGCGTTACAGTCCAGGAGAGAAAAGGTCACTCCACGAGCTGGTAACAGCACGAGGGTAAAGGACAAATCTCATGAAACTAAGACAGTGCCTTTTTGTTTGAAGCCCTGCCCCTTCTCTGTGGTGACTTGGCTCCCATTCACACCAAGGGCACACTATGCAAGAGGCCTGAAAAGATACACGCAGATGGTTTGCTTGAATCAACGCACAAAGCACCCACAAGCCCTTGTGCAAAAAGAGATGCCTCTCTTGCAGAGGCAGCATTTCCTAACATCTGCCTGTGCCAAGATGGACACCGTCAATGGGCAGCTGCCTCTTTTGTCCCCTCCTCCTCCAGACTCCTGAGTTCTGTGTGTTACTTCATGGAGAAGCATCCCTTAATTTCAATTAATGCTCAGGTTTTAACGCATGCACGCTCCTAACAGCTGCAAGCTTTACAGCATAAAGTCTTTACAGAAGCTTGAGTTTACAGATAAGCTTTCACTCTACCCCTGTACAACACTTGTGTATTTTGTATTCCAGGATCAGATATACGCACTAAAGAAACAATTCCTAAACTATACTGAGTCTCCCTTTCTGCAGGGAGAACCTTGGTACTAAAAACATTTATCACTCGGTACTCTAGGAATACACTCTGTGTGTATTCAGATAGCAACCTGAAGAAAAGACCGTCTACCCCTGAGTTACAGCACTGACACACGGAGTTCCCCACCTTTTAAGGAAAACGGTGCGCTGAAGTGGCAAAGTACTGAAGTAACTGACAGGAAAGCTATAAAAGATTTACTCTCCCTATTACAGGGGCCTGCAAGGAGGCAGAGCAGTCACCAAGACGATGATCTCATTTCTGGAGCAGAGCCCAAAACAAGAAAGTCAGGGGAGACAGAGGCATTCCTACTCTTCCACTGAATAACTCGCCTGATTTCATCACGCCAAAGTCAGGAAGGTCTCAACACGTGGAAACAGGTATCTAAAAATCAGCACGATTACTACTATGCAAGATTAATAGTTTGGCATTTTAAAAGGGTCAAAAGACTTCTCATTCCTTCGTTCTTGAAACGGTGGAGTTTTTCCTTGTATTCTGATTCCTCAAAGCAGTATCATTAAACAATACAGAACCACCCCCACACAGTGCTTTCAGGGAGGAGGTACCAAAGCAGAACGCCAAAGGTCAGCATCACCATTACTATGTCACCAGGCAACAATTTGGACAGCAGAATTAAGCGTTTCTGCCCAAAGTCACTGCACAGTGGCGGATCTGGGAGCAGATCTAGGGTTCTTCAGTTCCAGAAGATAAGGAATTTAATGTTCTAGTTTTGGCACACTTGTACAGTCATTTGCACCATGCAAAGTGAGACAGGGTACTAACCCCCCCACCACCATATTCTAGCAGTTTACAAACAAGACTGACCAACTGGAGACTAACATTGCTTGGTTTTCCCCTTATTTGTACTGTGCACAAGCCAAGTGTTACATCTGCAAGTCATTTTTAAGATGCAGTCTGTGACCATCTGAGAAAAACATAAGGTGAGTTTCTAGGGGTTAAACTCCCTCCTGTGCAGGGCAGGAGCACAAGTCTCTCACATCAGTAATGTCCTTAAAACAACCCCAGCCAAGCAACCCACCCTTCCTCCCAAGGAACAATGAGATCTGATGCTGTGCATAGAGTCTGCGCTCCTGCGCGTAGGCACGGCTGTCCCCAGAGCACAGCTTCTTTCAGTTACAGAAATAGACTACACAGGAAAAAAAAATAAATACAAAGAAAACCCTTTCCCACCCCACCCCCCCCAAGTCTAGGTTTCCTGCTGGAGGGATGCAGTTGGAATGTGAAGTGCCCACACACCTCCGCAAAGAGAAGACACGGGAACTAGTCTCACACCAGATTACTGGTAACTGAGTTGACCGATAAGCCTCATTCATCAGAGCACTCCCCCACGTTACATTCACGCTTCCCCCACATCCGTGCCAGCTACTTCCCAACTCTGATGGATTCCTATGAGGGTTCCTGAACTAGAAAATGTATTGGCTAAAAAGAAAATAACTTACTCCATACGGACACGCACACGCTTCAGATGCTACTGCAGCACGCTATGTGCTTGATGATATTTTCTGTAGTCAGAGGCCCACGTGCTCCACATTTTATGTTTGCTTGGATACCCCAAAACTTGCTGAACTCTGTCTTTGGTCTGAATCGTATCTGAACTTTCAGTGTAATAACAAAACTAATTTTTTTTAATCAATTTTTAAATAAGGTGGTTTTGGAAAGTCACTGGAGGCAATATCCTGTGAGCTTTCAGGCTGAAGAATGCCATCATCATTCATTTACAAGAAGCCTCCTCTGAAAATCATTTTGCTCTACAGAGATTCACTCAAGCTGCCATTTGCTTGTGGTAAATGGGCCGTTAGAAGATGCAGAACTGCCACAAAGCCACCAGTGCTAAGATTCTTCCACCCATCTCTCAGACTTCTCCAGCAGGTTGCACGGTGCCTGCAGCCCTGGCCAAGTCCTTCATACTTGGCCAAGTCCCAAGGAACCCCATGAAGTCTTGGACAGCCAGAATTCAGGAAGCTGCAGCACCTTCTGGTTTTGGGACAGATGCTCCCAACACAGTGGATATTGTCAGATACAATACAAATTTGCTGATCTCTGTATTGGGGGTGCGACACTTGTGCTTATCTGGTTAAAAGATGAACTGGGGACATATCCAAAGGCAGGGGCAGTTCAAAACCCAAGCCCCCTCAGAGTAAGCGAGAACCAACATCTAAGTTCCAACTATTCCTTTGAACATCTTGCCACCCCAAAACCAGAGTTTATTCTTGCATCCAAAGCACAACCTTGACTTGAAAGGAAAACGCTCCGTGTACTGTGGTTGCATTTGTAGTATCCTATCAGGAGGATCCATCAAAATAGTTCATGCCAAAAACACTACTACAAGCTCCAGCCTGTTAGGGCAGAAAGGCTCCTCTGTCCTCCCAACGTGAATGAACACCACATACCGGGCAGAGAGGAGAATCACTGATTTTGCTGACTGCAGGTTTGTATTCTGTTACTTAACACCACCTATGACCATTAAAAGGGGACAGAAACATCTCCCATGGCTTCAAACAAGGCTCCACCCATAGCTATAAGAGCGATTCATTCTTACGCCATTTTGGGAATGCTGGGTACCAAACTGCTCCCATGCAGACACTGGATGAAAGTTCAGTTTGTTCCTTCACAGCAGCAGCTTTCACACAAACTCCTCAACTTTTGAGCAGCATACCAACACTAACCTAATGCCTGTAGGACAGTCACATTTTTTGGAGAGCTTAAAATGAATCCCAAATATCCACTCATTTCATCTCTCTTGCATTTTCCATTCATTTCACAAATAAGTGGTGAGTATTTTCTGATGAAGGAGGTCTAGATAATAGACATCTCTAAAAATGTACGCTTCCATTGTATCGTATTTCCCACCCAGATCCATGAATAGCTACTTGAAAAAGCAATAAAATAAACATTCACATCTGCTTATTTAATAGCATTATTAACAACCCAGTGCATTTATATTTTTTCCAGAACCCTTGAACAAGTGCCATTAGATTTAAAATCTTAAACATTCTTTAAAAGTACTTTAATTCACAGAAATCTTTGTTTCTAATATACAGTAGATGGTTACTTTTTAAAATCCATTCTCTTTTCATATAATCTCAGTATCTGACTATACAATAACTTTCTATCTATAGCGTCTTCATGTTTTCCAGTCCAGCTTGCCTGTGCTTTAGGAATATAAAACAAAAAAATAATAAAGTTCTATCCACAATTTTACTAAGGTCATTTCCATAGTTCTCATGTAAAGCTTCTCTTGGAAAGTGCAGTATACACATGTAATGATACAACACACTTAAGCAATACTTTTATTATTAAGTGTAGGTTTTAAAAGAAGAGTAATGTAGAGCAGACACAATTGATGGTACTTCTATTTACAGAATTTGTTAAACTAAGTGTTGGGGTGGGGGAATAGCGGAGAGACTGGAGATAGGAAAGGAGTAGTCACGAACTTTGATTTCTTTCCTTCTTAGCGAGAGGTCAGTACATACATATTTCAGTCGTTCATACTTTCGCACATGGGAAACTGCACTTTTACTAATACAGCTACATACACATACACAAGGTTAGCAGTAAGCTAGTAATTATTCCACTACAGAGGAAGAGTCCTTCTGTTCAGAAAGAGCTTTCAAATACAAGATAGAAATTCCGGACTTCATGACCATAAGCCAATGAAAACAAGTTTAGCGTATCCAGCTAGTTGACAAACTAAGCATGTGAAGGGAAAAAGAAAAAGGTAAAACCCATCAAGTTGTAGCAGCACTTATTTCAAACCATCTGAACCAAGTGCATGCTTGTTCCACAAAGACTGAAGAGTGGAATAAAGTCCACAGTAATCTTTGTCTACTGAAACAAATGGTTCCATACTTAACTGGTTTGCACTATATGCAGTTACAAGAGAAAACGGGGAACCCAGAACAGATACCAGATGCTTGACTAAAACCAGGATTAAAAATAGACAAACAACCGTAGGACAATTTGTTTCATACACAATTTACAGTAGGTTGGGGGGATTTTCTTTTTTTCAATTCAAACACAGAAAAGAAGTCACAGAGAATACATCTGCTGCTGCCACAATGCCCTTTTCATCCAAAAAAGGTCAACAAAATGCTAGTCACAGCCATACTCACATGTATTTTGTTCAAAACCTTGTTATATTTCACTTAGGGTCATTTTTGCAGCTTTAACAATCTGTTTTGTTTTTTTCTTTTCTTTTTTTCTTTTTTCTTTTTTTTTCCCCCTCCCCCAAGGAAGCGCAGTTCATTCACAAGCAGGATTGTTAAACAGCAAACCATTAGCTGGGGGCAGTCCGGAAAACTCTCTTCATATGCACCATCACCAGAGGTACTAGGCAAGACTACTTCAGAGGAATTCGGTGCTTCCTCCTCCTCTGAAGCATATACTGGCAATTTAGAAACATCAGCTCTCCTAACCTGTATTCTGCAGGAGAGGGGCATCCCTACAGATTTCACCTGTCCCCTTCCTCCTGCCCATTCATCAGAAAACAGGAACAAAACAAAAACCAAACCCAAAAACACAAACGCAAAGATTGAAACACAGTTGTTCACACGCTAGTCTAAGGAGAAAGGAGTCTGTTGTACGCGGGGATCATACATCAGCTACGATTATCTAATCCATTTACAGTTAGGCTTTCCATGGTGCTACGTGTACATCTCAGCAGGGCGGCTAAGGACGGTGCTCCCTTTAGACATAGGCTAGCAAAGACAGGTGCAGAAGGAACCACCACGGGTTTTTACCAGCTTTAGAGAGGACTACCTGGAGAACTGAGACAGAATCTTTCCCAGGGCATGGGAAGACAGAGAGAAAGGTGGGTGACTGTCTCCTGTTGGCAGATTTCTTTTTCTTTTAATTAAGGAGGGAAAAAAAAAAAAGCCCAAAATAACCACAACTGAAGGTAACTCTTCTGGAAATGAAAACAGAGGATTAGGTACGTTACAGAAACTGCGTCTGCTACTGTGTCACTGCTACAGGTCTATGAGCTGATCCACCAGCAGTAAAGACCTGGCTATGTTGGGAAGACTGGACTCAGAGCTTCCACTGTTGTTTCTAGAATGCCCACCTGAAAGTGTGAGAGATAGGAATTCAGTATTGAACAGGACACACACACACACGACAGTTTCAGATGTTCAAGAGCAAGCAAGCAAGAAAAAAGTCAAAGCAAAACAGAAAATTTGCTCAAGCTCTTCTCATTACTTGCATCACGATGGCAACAACATTCCCCTGCTTGCTCTTCCACCCTCTCCCCACCCCCCAAACCTAGCTCGCTAGACTTGCATGGAAAAACATCACAGCAGCCAACAAATCTCTACAAACCATTTCTTTTTCCCAGGCTTTACATCCGAGCTGCAGAATTCTGTCCTTACTAAAGGATCTATAAAACAATTACAAAAACTCCCACACCTATAGAAATGACTGTTCAAAGTTTTAAATCTTGAAAATTAGATGCTGTTTTAAGAGCATCTTTGAGGTGCCAGCTACTTCAAGGAGAGTTGAGCTATCGTGTGGCTTTATTATTGGTGCTTTAATACTGAAGGAAAGATGCTCCTCTTTATTCAAGGTAGCCTATCTTGGCCCAACTTTGGTAGAAATCTTCTCTGACTTTCAGTAGGAGCAGAGTTTTTAATGTCTGAGAACTTTTTCTAATGAGTGTCAGTCTTTGAAAGCTAGCATTAGAT